TATAATTCCTTGGTCTCTTTATTGATTAAATATTTTTCTCGTATCTTCAATAATTTTTCCAAATATTAAATCATCTTCTTACAAAAACCAATTAATGAATAAAAATCCTTTTCCTTTGTTGCCACTGTATTTCTTTTCACAAAAATCAACAAAATACATGGCTAACAACAGGTTCATAATAATATATATTATAATAATTAATATTATCGTTTAATACAATTATAAATAATCATTTAAGATATTACAACACGTCCACCCTATTAAGGTTTAGTGTATATAATCTTCAATCTTCTTCTTCCAACAATGTCATTTCTTCTAAATGACTCATGATATACCCCATCTCCCATTCACCTCTCATTTCACCCAATAATTCCTCTTCTTCCTTCTGTATCCGTATATCTTTATCTTTAGTCATACTCGCTAATGTTCCTTTCTCTGATCTTATATTCACTTTATTGACAATTTCTGTACATCTATCCTTGACACCTAAAGGATACTTTTCAAATTGAAACTTTCTAGAATCTATTTTACATCTTTGTATTCTTTTCTTTCTATTCCTGAATCTCTTTCCTTGACACTGAATCTTTACATGTCCCCACCTTCTACAACGAAAACATTGACGCGTCCGTCTTATATCACATCTGTTCGACAACATACATTCTTCTTCTCTTTCATCTTCCAGCAATTTCTCCCACGTTATCCTCGTGTTTCCTTTCATTTGTTGTCTCCATCTATCCTCCCACTTCATCGATAACGGATAATAATTCATGGGTAATATCACATTCTTCATGATGTGTGTCTTGAAATGCAAGTATGAAACCTTTGCCATCAAATCTTTCAAAAATGCAAAAATAAATATATATACCTTCCCCCTCCCAGCTCTATGTATAAATTATTCTATTCTAAGCTTTATGTATAAATTATTCTATTCTAATTTTCATTTGATCATGGTGACGAATACCCTCCGTCCCATTTTCAAATCCTATACGATTTAATTTTTTTCCTAAATTTTCCATTACTATCCCTCTTTCCCATAATTTATCCTTATTGTTATAACATCTAGCCCATACTATTTGACCCACATGATATAATGGACTATTGGTCTTATTTGATAAAACCTCTATATCACATTTTGGTTTTATAAGATCTAATAGTACTTTCGTCCTTCTTCCCAAAAATCTTTCAGTTGGAGTAAAACCTCCACTGTTTTTGGAATTATTATAATATAATTGTGCAATCCACAGAGGGTATTCGTCACCATGATCAAATGAAAATTAGAATAGAATAATTTATACATAAAGCTTAGAATAGAATAATTTATACATAGAGCTGGGAGGGATTTTTGCATTTTTGAAAGATTTGATGGCAAAGGTTTCATACTTGCATTTCAAGACACACATCATGAAGAATGTGATATTATCCATGAATTATTATCCGTTATCGATGAAGTGGGAGGATAGATGGAGACAACAAATGAAAGGAAACACGAGGATAACGTGGGAGAAATTGCTGGAAGATGAAAGAGAAGAAGAATGTATGTTGTCGAACAGATGTGATATAAGACGGACGCGTCAATGTTTTCGTTGTAGAAGGTGGGGACATGTAAAGATTCAGTGTCAAGGAAAGAGATTCACGAATAGAAAGAAAAGAATACAAAGATGTAAAATAGATTCTAGAAGGTTTCAATTTGAAAAGTATCCTTTAGGTGTCAAGGATAGATGTACAGAAATTGTCAATAAAGTGAATATAAGATCAGAGAAAGGAACATTAGCGAGTATGACTAAAGATAAAGATATATGGATACAGAAGGAAGAAGAGGAATTATTGGGTGAATGGGGTATATCATGAGTCATTTAGAAGAAATGACATTGTTGGAAGAAGAAGATTTAAGATTATATACACTAAACCTTAATAGGGTGGACGTGTTGTAATATCTTAAATGATTATTTATAATTGTATTAAAACGATAATATTAATTATTATAATATATATATATATTATGAGCCTGTTGTTAGCCATGTATTTTGTTGATTTTTGTGAAAAGAAATACAGTGGCAACAAAGGAAAAGGATTTTTATTCATTAATTGGTTTTTGTAAGAAGAAGATTTAATATTTGGAAAAATTATTGAAGATACGAGAAAAATATTTAATCAATAAAGAGACCAAGGAATTATATAATTAATGGAAATTCTTAAATTATAAGATAGATCAAGAAAATATTTAGTTAACAAAGAATATACCAAGAAAACATTTAATTAATCATGGTAAGGAAATTTTCAATTTAATTTATTTTCAGTTTAATTTTAATTTTCATATGAAATAACTTTTTATTAATTAATTTATTTTCAATTTAATTCTAATTTTCATATTAATTAACTATCATTTAATTTTAATATTAATTAACTTTCTTAATTCTAATTTTCATATTAATTAACTATCATTATATATATTATAATAATTAATTTTATCGTTTTAATACAATTATAAATAATCATTTAAGATATTACAACAATGTCCAAAACATATTTTCTAGAAAAATTTTATAAATTTATTCATTAAAATTTTAACATTTGCGAAAGTTTCGAAACTTTTACAATTCTTCAATTTTTTGGAGTTGGACACATTACACACACATATATATGTCGTATTTTGGATATCGAATCCATTGGGGTTTGGAATCTCTCAATTTAATATCATTTACTGAGGGGCCATTTTTAAAACATAGAAATTTAATTTGGCAGGAAATGCATTCCAATTTGTGTAGACTGTAGAGCACCTCCCCTACTTCACATACCGAATTTCAGACAATTTATTCAACAGTTCAAGGCGAAATTGTATGGGTACTTTATACATTGAAATACATTTCTGGCCAAATCAGATGATTTAAATATCATGAATTTAACATTGAAGGATTCCAAATCCCGATACGACATATCGTGGGGTGAGTATTAAAGTGTTCTATATCGATTTCCCGCATATATTTTCAGGATAGTTTTTCTATCTCAAAAAATGTATTTTAGATAGAACACTAACGCTCAGTCGACGATATATCATTTTCAAAATCAATTTATATTTAAATCAATCAAAAAATTTAAAAATCGTCATATTATATATTAGTTATATAAAAGTTATAAAAAAAGAAATCAAAACTATAATAATTATATAAAATTATCACCTAATTAACAGTATAAACGTAAAATTAAATCAAAAGTATAATCGTAAGAAATCAATTTAATAAGTAACAATTAAATATTATAGATGTTGATCTCTCAATAGGTAATCAACCAAATAGTCTGGGTTAAAAAAAAGTTAAGTTATAAGCCTTGGTGTCAGTATTTGGAATTTATTTCCACTGAAATCAAGTTTCCTTGAGGAGGTAGGTAACTTAGGAAAGAATGGTAGTTTGAGCCCCTACAACCAATATTTAAACTTTAAAGAATTTCGAAAAAGTTTATACCCAGCTCAAGGGCCGAGCCTTCGGACATGACCTCTAATTTTTATAAGGCCAAAATTGATCAAATTATAGAAATCAAATCTTTAAATGATTATCGGATAAAAAAAATTTTGATTGATTTTAAACGTGGCTTATTCTTTTTTTTTCTTCTCTCTTTTCATTTTTAACAGATCGAAGGTTGATGATTTTTTAAAAAAAATTTAATAATATTATTTTAAATCTTTAACCCCATTATGAAAATAAATATTTTTAAAAAACTTATTTCATTTAGCTATTATTTTTTAAAACTTTCTTCTGACTTATATTAATTTTTTTAATTTTATTATAAAAATTGATTAAAAAAAAGATAATGTCACATTATATAATATTAGATAAAATAGTTGCAGATGTTAATGTTACTAATATAATAACTATTACTAGAGTTACTTATTATAAGATAAAAAATTTATCGAAGATATTGTATCATATCAACATCTAATGTTAAGTTATTTTTTTTAAAATAATAACGTAACAAATTTATTAAAATACTGTATTCAAACAAAAAATTTGTCAATTTTATGAATATTTTATCATCTCATTTTTTTTGGATTGTCGGATTTAGAGTTCCGCTGGATCAAAGCCAATGCACAATCCTATGGGTCATAACCGTGACATATTCTAGAGAACATTGACATCAAAAGTAATTATATTTCCCTAAAATATTGAATTCGTCAAGTGAATCATTCGGTGAAGGGAATAATACGAGACCAAACACATTGATAGCAGTATACATTGACGAGTCGGTCATTGAAAAACAATGTAGACGTAAACATATAAAATCGGTCATTTAAAGCCAAATGTCTTTCAATGACGTCAATTATAGCCAATGACATTAAGATTGTTTACAGCTGACTTCAATGTATGCAGACCTTTAATAAATGAATCGTTAATCTAGGTTAGTAATAATATCATTGAACACATGACAGGTAGAAAATAATCATGAAAACAAATTTTACGAAAAAAAACTTTAGCCAAAAAATTATATATAAAATAAATTATTCTTTTTTTGCTATAACCATTATTTCCTAATTCTAATTTAAATTAATAAAGTCGGGTATGGTTATGAGGCCGATATCAATTCCATCACCGGGTTCGGGAACCGTTTGGGGACTCTTAATTGAGTTTTTGCATGCACACATCCACATTTTGCAACTCAAAATGAGGTTCCACAGTAATCTCACAAGATATATTAAATATTTTAACAAGGCTGTAGTTCCTTATATCTTCTAATTTTATCTTATGTGCAGTTGGGTATGTAGGGGCAAGCCAGGCCCTGGAAAAATGGGAAATAACGTGTATTTTCCATAAATTTTCGAAATATATAATTTATATGGTAATAAATAGCTACTCCAATGTTAGTTATATTAAATATAGACACAATGGCCCAATACTAACCCCTTTACAGCTCTTTATTTATTATTTATGGTGGATAATCTATTGGTCAATTGATAACCCGTCAATCAAGGTCAAATCAAAAAAAAGTAACAAATATATTATGATTCTAACCTCTTCCCATCGATCGAACAATGTTCCTTTTTGCAAACTTTCGGGTACTGGAATGTGCCAATTAAATTCGTATGGCTTGGCCATAAAAGATCGCGCGAATTTTTTTTTCAATAACTTTTACATATAGTTATAATGTAGCTTAGATATGGGCGCATGCAACTATTCTTTTACGATATTGGCTAATCCGCGAATAGCGACAAATAAGCGATATATTTCAGATTTTTTTATTAATCATTTTTATTTATAAATTTATTTAGTTTTCGAGTTTGAACAAATTTTGTCTGATTCATTTTTTTTTGTATGTCGAAATTTTTCGCAATAAAGTGCGCTCTCGAATATCGAAAGAAAAGAAAAGAAAAGAGGGAACAATAATAATGTAATAAATGGAGGGGCCTAGGGGATTTGTTTTATCACAGGTATCACGAAAAGAATAATTATAGAAAAAAAATTTTTTTTAGTCCACTAAAGTAATTTTTGTTTAAAATAAATATTATTTTTTCATCGATTTTTAGCGGCGAATTTAGATCATCTTTTTTTTGTCACTGTATCCAAATATCAATAAATAATTTTAATTACATTCACTTTTTTTTTTAAATAATTTTTTTTTAACTAATTAATCTATTATAAAAAAAATAATACGTATATATATATTAAAATATTTAATTTATATTTTTTTTTTAAAAAAAAAAGAAAAAAGAATAATCTTTCTAGAAATTATGTTTTCACATGTTCCTCCTCTTCCACCGAAAAAAAAGATGTCGGTCAATCCAAAATTTATGTAATTTTTTTTTTGATTTTTGCAAGGTTTTCTTTTTTTTTATAGGATTGAAAGTTGATCATTTTATTTTATAACAAATAAAAATATAGGAAAAATATAACGAATAATTTTTTGAATTAATTTCTAGATTTTTTTCTTCTGTTTTTGAATATGTATCTTCATGAAATTGTTTGTAATCGTAATTTCCTACGCTGGTCAAGTGAGTGGGCGATATCTATAACAAAAAATTTATAATATATTTTATTTTGAATATTTTTTTATTTTATTAGGCTAAGTCCAAAATTTTTTTTTTCAAAAAAATTCGAATTCTTTTGAAACTTTCAGAAATTTTAAAACTTTTTAATGAAATCGTATGTTAAATTTTTATCTTTTAGAATATCTTTTTGGACATGTTTTTTTTCCCGTAAAGTTTCAAAAAATTTTGCGAATCGTATTTTTGGATATTTTGGGCTTAGCCTTTAATTAGAAATAATTGTGAATAATTTATTGAATATCTTCATTCTCAAATCTTTAATCGATAAAAAAAATTATCTCCCAATATGAATTATTGGCAAAAGGAATTAGAGAAACACGGATTATTATAAATTATAATTTTTTGGCTTTTTTAAAAACCACTCTTGGGAATTCATAAAAAAAATTCAAGATTATTTCAGACTTAGTAAAAAATTATTACGAAAACAAAATTTAATGTCATTTCGGCCATTAAACGGTTTTGGGACATTTTAAATTCTTTTATAATATGATGTCGTATTTGGGACAAAGAATCGTGACCCCTTGCATTCATATTTAACGCAAATTCGCGGCAAAGTATACAAAAATAAATGTTAAAATATTATATTTTTATCATATTTTGTATACCGCCCGTGAATTCGCACTAACTATGAATGCATGATTCGGAATCTCTCGATTTTTAAAATAATCACTGAAGGCCATTTATAAATTTGGTTGATTTGACCGGAAATGTATTCCAGCACGATATGAAAGTTCCCACACTGCGAATTTCGGAACAATTCTGCCGGATAGAATAAATATTGTCTGAAATCTATAAGGTATTTTACTCTTCATATTACCCTGCATTCGCAGTTAGCATGAATTGGCGGCAGCACGAATTGGCGGCGAGGTATAGTAAAATACGACCTATTTTTGTGTATTTTTCTTGTATACTTAGCCGCAAATTCGCGCTAACTGTGAATGCGGGGTTAATTGCCAGAATACATTTCAGGTCGGTCAAATCAGATTTTGCAAATTTTGGGAGAAAAAAAAATTCAACAGGATTTTTAGGTATTAAGACCTAATCGGAGTGTTGTTAAACGGTTCGATTTAAAAAATCGGCTAACCAAATTTTTTAGACTAAAAAAAATATTATGCAAGTCTAGAGATTTTGTTCATGGCTGGCAGTAAGGTTTGGACATCTATTAATGAAATCTCGAGGCTAGTGTAATTTTAATTTGGCTCAATTTATAAAAGTGAGCCGTTTAACAACACTACCGTAACCAAATCAAATAAACAATGAAACAAATGCATGAGTATATAGGGTTGTGTTATAATTCCCCAGAAATATTTTTTGAAAATCTTTAATAAAAAAATGTTTATATAGTTAAAAAAAGCGTCATTCGAATCCGGAGCGAGGTATGATTTTAAGAATCCGGATAAGAGGATCAAAAAAAATTTTATACCGGGCACGGCCAGCTTAAAAAAATTAGGAAATCGGGGCTTAAAGGCCCGACCCACAAATCTTAAATGTGGATAATAAGTGTCACTTCCTTTTCATCAAAACGATAATTCGTTTTTTCAGGGATTGGGTTAATTCTATTTAACATACATTTTTAAAGTATATATTGGGTGGGGAAAAATAAATGATAAATATTAAAAAGCTTAAAAATGAAAAATTGAAATTGCATGGGATTCTAAGGCAGGGTAAAAAAAACTTTACAAATAAAATTTGAAATTGTACCATCCAATTTGGAAAATTTGATGAAATCATTTTTCATTTTAGCATCATTTGTTTCTCAATCTTTTCAAATTTAACTTAAAAAGATAAATTTAAACCAGGGGATCGAGCTTGAAAATGGATCTTAAATCCGAGCCTAAAAAATTCGATCCTCGGGGGTCAAGCGAGTCGATCAATTTAATATTTCATTTTAAATGTAGTTTTAATATACTATCTTATGATTTAAAAAAGAGCCCACCCCCCCCCCCTTAATTTCGAAAAATCTTCTTTTAATTGTTCTCGTATTTTCATAATACCCATTCTGGGATTCTTTCCTCGATCCTTCTTATTATTATTACTCGAAAATCTTGTCTTAACTCCCCCCCCCTATATTTTCGAGTAATGTTCCAATTCTACGAATAATTTCATCCGAAAATGGGTTAGTCGATTTAATGAAAATCAGAGACCTGCAGGCCTAGGGCCGGGCCGGAAATTGTTATTTAAAAAATATCCGGGCCGGGCCGGGCCTGAAAATTTTATTAAAAAATAACCGGGCCGAGCCGGGCCTGAAAATTTTTTTTAAAAAAAAATTCGGGCCAGGCCGTATATTTTAAAACCAGATATTTGAAATCGTCATTATTAGCTATAAAATCAAAAATAAATATAATATACTTTAAATCTGGGCCGGGCCTGAAAATTTTTTTTTTAAACCCGGGCCGGGCCTTAAAATATAAAACCCGGGCCGGGCCGGGCCGGGCCGTAAAAAATTTTGAAAAAAATCCGGGTCGGGCCGTTCAAAACCTCTGCAGGTCTCTGATGAAATTTAAAAGTTAATAGTCAATGTTATCTATTTAACATATTAAAAAAGTATATATTTTATCCTTTATTCAATTTAAGCGATAAATATATTATATAGATTTATCGTTTCAATAATGTTTCAAGGTTAGAAATTTATTTGTTTTTTTTAATAAAAAAATGCGATTTTTCTGAATAAAAAAATATATAAGTCCGAATTATTATATTTCTTTTTTTTTAAAAAAATCGTTAATAATTTGAAAATCGATGTTTAAATTTATAATACCAGCGTTGTTAAAGTATCTAAATCAAAAATGTGGTATATGTATCTTGATACTATTTTAGAGGTATCTGTATCTGTTTTTGATATTTTTAAGATATATTTTGATATATTTTAATATATTTTTATTTAATTCTTTTTTTATATTAAAAATAAAAATATTTGAATGTTATTTCATGTGAGCTTTTAATTTAAATAAAAAAATATTAAGACTTATATAATAAAAAATATATATAAAATATTAAAACTTATATATAAAAAAAATATTCATTTGATATTAATTTTTTCTTTAAAATCTATCGATAGTTCAAGATTGTGAAGGATATTTTTCCCATGTAAAAGAAATATATAAATCCTTGCTTAGGCCATGACGCCCATTAATTATTAAAAACTATCATTTATGCACAAAATTATTTTAAGCAAATAAATTTATTTCGAATTTTTAAAAATAATTTTAGATATTTCGTTGACTTTAAAATAAATTATAAATTTAATATTAAAAAATTTTTTAATGAGAATTTTGTTCGAAAGAGCGATTAAAAATATATGGGTATTGACATTTTTTTTAATCTTTCTTTTGATATGGTGTTAGAATTGATTGAGAACCAAATATAAAAATTTGTTTAAGTATTTTGTGCTCTCATAATAAGAGTTTCTGTTAAACCCTGTATATAAAAAGCAAATTTGTATAACTCTGTATAATAATAATAATAATATATATAAGGGTGGATGGGGGTGGGGGGGGGGGGGTGGTATAGGAGACCGGGATAAAATGATTGGTATTTTCATAAACAAAACAGAGCAAATACCTCATCTAAAAAAATTTAAAAAAGTGTAGCTCTCCTAAATATAATACTTTATGAGCTGAGATTAATTGTGACGTGTGTCATTTTACCCCATGCCTAGAATAAAGTAGCTAAGCATCAAGGTAAAGTGGTTAAATATAAAACATAACTATATTGTTAAATTGAACAAAATATTACAATTTTGACATCTATTCATCACTTTCAGAAATACTAATCAATATAATACCGGAATGTAAAAAATAATAAAAAATAGCACATTTTGAGTGTGCCCATTTTAGGCACAACGTACATTTCAATTAATCTTTCCCTTGGAGACTTTTATAAAAATTTTATTCCAAATAATAGAAACTATTTATTAATATTTCTCTTTGCTCGAAAATATTTTTTATATGTCTAGACTCTAGACGTTAATATTTAAAAATTCTCTTTTTACAGGTTAAATCAGATGGAAAATTTTAACCATTTTACCCATAATAACTTTGCCCCAAGGAAATATATATCGCGCCAATCGATATTACCTGACCTCTAGTTGAAATAAGCTATAAATTTTCGATAAATTTTATTTATAGCTATGGCTTTAAGGATGTATATAAAATTTTAAATTACGAGTCTAAATATATTCTTACTAAATGCAAAATTAATTAGAGGGTAATTTTTTAAAATTTTTGGATAAAAAGCGGTTTTTTGGTATAATATGTCAAACCAGGAAAGTTTTACAAAAGATGAACATGGG